TGGCGTGAGGAACGCAGCAGCTTGCTGTGAGGAATATGGTGGATGCTTTGCCAGAAAGCTGTGCGAACAGCATGAGAGGACTTCGGACATGAGCCACGTTTATCTCATTGCACCCATTGTCCGCTAGCGATTCTATCACTAGGTATATGGTCGTTGGAAGATTCCGGGGGAATGGCCTTGCTACCATTACAGACGGTTCAAGGTGTATATACCCAAATGGACGACAGGTTGAAAATCCCATGGCCCACCAGAGTTCTCGCCGTCTTCCAGATGCGAACGCCGTGCCAGGAGCAGCTGCAACCAACGAGATGACTGTGAGTATGTTCATCGGAAGCTCGTTCGCCGAGGAGGAGCTCGAAATGAATGATACCTGCGTTTGCAATGTTTTTGCAGTATGGGCATTGAACCACAGAACGACTGTTGTGAAGAAATAGCCTGCGTGCGAATCAAATTCTGCAGGAACTTCCACTTTGTCCAATGGCCTCAATCGTCAAAACTGCAAAGTCACCGAGGAGCAGCTTTGTGACTTGGGTATCTCACAATCGAGCCACTGAAGCTTTGGCTTCTTTGCATGTAGATTTTCGTGATTTCCCCTAACTCCGGGCGATCTTGACAAGGACGGTTCTTATACATCAGGTTGAAGTTCGGTCGCCTCGTTGGCATTTCCAGCTTTCAAGTCTCAAAGTCAGGCGATCTATTTTGGATGTCCATGTTGGAAGGTGAGCCGCGAATTCCTTTGGATGAAGTGCTTCGGAGGCCCGCTACGCCGGCGGGTTTGCTGCGAGCGGTCGCTTGTTACCACTAACAAGTGCAGGATGCGAGAATTCAGAGTAGATTCAGACTCTCATGTTGCAGTACCATCAACCAATTGGGCTTCCTGCTCGCTACCATCCAGTTCCTGGTTCATGTGTTTCTGATAGGATTCCTTAGACCCATAGGAAGTGAGCAGAGGTTCCGAATCAGACGTGTTGGGAAGCGATGTGGAAGGTCACCTCGACACATTCGAAAAACTTATTGTTGATGATTACGAGTACGCTTAGCGAGAGCTCAGCATCCCCAGCATCCCTTCAGCTCGGCTGGCAACCGTTGAGGTGGTCGGAGCGTTGCTCGAAGAGCAAGACAGAGCTCGTGCAGCAACTCCAAGAAGAGATTCAACTTGGAAGCGTGAATGTTCTGGTGCTGGCATATCGCAGCTGCTTGGCAAGTCACTGGAAGCAAAAGGCGATGGCTGACTTGGAAGGCAGGGAGTTGTTTAATGGATTTTCTTCTGAGCAGTTGTAGTAGATCAATGGTCAGATCAATGGCATTTTGAGCAACCAGATCAATCCTGTGGGAAGGTGCAATGCATGTGCCGGGTGTTAGCATCTGGCTTTCTGCTGCTCTGGTGGAGCCGCCCCTGCAGTTGCTGGATTGCCTGGACCAGTTCTTTCGGCGGGAGCTCCTCAGCTGCAAGGAGCTGCAGACCTGTACCACTGCTAAGCTAAGCTGTTGGCAGCATCTGGTGGCTGGGAGTTAAATTGCCTTTGACACTCAAGGATTATTTGTGTGGACTTTGGAAGGAATACCATGACTTAAGTTCAGGTCTTGCCTAAGCACATCTTAAGGGTACGTTGCATTCATCATTCAGAGTCTAAGCCAACTCAAGCCAACAAACCTTTTGCTTGACATATTTTCGAGGCAGTTGAGTATGAGACTGTCTCGCCTCAGCGCGGCTTGCAGATCATGCTTTGGATTGGACATCTCCAGCCATGGGTGGTTGCGATTAGCAAAGGCTGCAGGATACCGGACTTTTCGACCGCCGAGTCGCGGCAGGAGGGACTGGCTTTTGAGACAGCAAGGTGAGAGCCGGAAAACTCGCTGGACACCCCATGGAGATTGCACTAGACGAAAAGAGGATTTGGCAGAATTTGTGGGAGATTCTGTGGAACAATGGCCATCTCTGGGGGTCCTTCTTGAGTCCGCTCGGACGTTTGGACCTGCATCCTTGCAGCCTGGACTGAACGAAAGATCTCGCCTGGCGGCTTTGTACTCAATCTTGCGGGAGGTCGCAGATCTGTCCGATTTGGGGAAAGACGATGAGATCAGCGAATCCCAGGATGAAACGAGTGCCTGCGAGGAAGAGTCGGAGGTTGAGCTTGCAGACCTTGAATTGAAACAGAATGGAGATGATTCCGGATGCAGCTCAGAGGAGTTCGAAGGGGAGAGATGTCAGATTTTTCCACCCCCAAGTCACGCTGTCCAGATGTCCAAGTGGCCATTGCCCAGTACGCCCTTGCAAGTGCTAAAGAGCACCTTTGCTCAACTCGATCACACCACCTTAAGAGGAGTTCCCGTGGTCAAAGGCAAACGTGTCCTCAAGCTCACAAAGCCGTATGCAGACTTGCGCAAAACCCTGTTGAAATTGAAGAATATGGATGATGAAGGTGCTGTGGAGCCTGATGTGGCTCGTCAATTCTTGCAAGCTGCTGGGTATGAGAAGAGTCTAATAAGAGATTGGCTAGGACACGACGGGCGTCCTGTGAATTTTGACTTGTTGGCAGCAATGCTGGCCGCAGCATGGAGACGGGCAACAAGGTGGGACGGGCATGGAGACGGAGCAAATGATCAAGAGTGTCTTAGGAAAGTGGTGTTTTTCTACCACTGAGGTGTGAGTCGGTGTGAGGTCCATCAAAACGAGACTCACAAATGACTCACAAAACCTATACGGCAAAGTCCAGAAAGTCCATTTGATGGGAATATCAGGGAGTTCTGGCTATCCCTTGCATTTGGTGAGCATGTTCCAAGGTTGTAGTGTCTGCTATTGGCGGTTGTAGTGTCTGCGATTTCTTCCATACCTGCCGTCGATGGTGGTGCGGTGTCGGAAGGCCTCATGCGGCGTGCGGAACGTGCGGTGAGCAGAGTCTGGGCGTGCAGGACTGGAGAAGGATCAGCGAACTCGCGAACTCTTCAGTGCAGTGATCGGCACTTCCATGCACGAAACATAAAAGAAACACCCCAAGTTCTGTGAGGAATCGTGAGGAATAGGGAACAAATGTTGTTTTCTCAGTTCTTTCAAGTAACAACCCTGTGTAGGAGATTCTCGCTGGTCTGCTGCTGGCGAAGGCATTCAGCTCCGATGGGCAAGGTCGCTCTCACAAACTGCGCAGGCTATTGGGGATGATGTTAACGTAGCTTTTGTGCAACTTATCCCACATGCATATATTGTATAGCAACCTGACTCTGACTCAATCCCAGGATGGAAGAGGGGTTGGGCATGGTGAATCGAGTTTCTTGGGTCTTGTTACTTGGGGGGCTGCTCAGTGGCATCCGGGAAATGACTTGCCTTCATGTTTCATGTGGCCATTGTGTGAAGAAACCTGATATTCATATGTTGAAGTTTGCAGGTGCAGTGTTTTGCTTACCCTCCAAAAAAATGAAAATCGCAGGGTCGCAAGGGCCTTTATACATTATATAATATATCATTGTATAAATATGCATATATGCAATTATCATCCCAAAGATCTACCACTTTTGCACGCTGCATGCATGTCTTATTCTTTCCAGCAATCTTGGTTGTTGGTTCCAGTGAGGAACTAGTTCGAGCTCGTTCTCCCTGCCTGAGCTCGCAGTATTTCATCTAAAGATAATCAGCCCAAGCTCCCACTTTGCAAGCACCTGCAAGCATCTCTTACTTCTTACTTCCAGGAAAATTTATGAATATGTTCTAAAGTTCTCCCAGGTGCAGAATCCAGCAGCAAGATTCTCTGGAATAGTTCCGTACAATTTTGCTTTGTACTTCCAGATGATGTTTAAACATTTAAGAATTTTCCCAGGTGCCTTGTCGGGAAGTAGGATTCTCTCGGAGACTTGAATTCTGCAGGGGCATAAGAGGTACTGAATCCTGTCAGGCGTTTTCTGCCAACAAAAACTATTTAAGACAATGTTTTTTGATTCAAAACTACTATTTGTGGAACAATTTGGAACGGGAAATCAGGGGAGGTCAAGCATATTCATTGGTGATTCTGCCATTCAGATAGACATAAACGGTGTGATACAAGCCATTTGAACAAGCAGGGGAGCAAGCTGAGTGTCAAAACAAGGACTATCAATAGAATGGTCTAAATCCGTTTATTCTTGATTGATTCTCAATTTCTCAAAAACCTGCAAGAACATGTTGGCACATGGAAAGAACAACAGTTATAGTATAAACAGTGCATTGAGACTTGGAAGACTTTGCTGGGAAAGGGGCAGCTTTTATCCAAAAAATCAGCAAGGAGACAGAGGGAGGAAGAACTTGGGCCTTCCTTTTGTGTGTGCAAGAACAATGTGATTGCTAAACAAAGTAACACACGGAAATAGGTTGTTTAAAGTGCTCCCGCTTAGACTTAGGACTACATCAACAAGTGAAGCTCTTATTGAATGACGCCTTATACAATGAGTCATGAGGGCACAGGGACAACCAAGGAAAATTGGGAGCAGGACAGCTGCACCGTAACAAAGTTTTTCTTGAAATGCTGAGTAGAATCAAAGCTCTTGAATCTGGGCCCCAGGATTCAAGATTTCAGAAAATTTTTTCTTACGCCAAGTTCCAGGGCTTGGATTCTAGAATTCCTTCCCAAAATCTAGAATCTGCACTTGAATCTCATTGCAATGTGCATTGCTGGGATGCCGTCACCAAATGCTCCAAGTATTTCTGTAGGACTGTGACACATGTTTCGTGCGTATGTGTACATGCATAAGTATACGAATATGTATATTATATGATATGTATATGTACATCTACATATGGTACCCCCTAAGACAAACAACATCATTTCTCGAAAAAAAAAGAAAAAACATTGCCCACGCTTCAAAATGGTAGGTCTTCAGGGGGGCACTATATATACTGTACACACACATATATATATATATATGTAACTATATACTATATATATATAGTTTCCTTTACAGCCAGGTATTCTCCCCACATCGTTGGTTCTTGGGGTGCATTTTGGATCGTTCTGTTCGCAGTTGCTTTGCAGGCGCATTGCGGGACTGCTCTGGCGACACCCACCTTTGCGGGGCAGGCTCCTATTGACCTCTCGTGGAGGAGAGGCGGCGCCAGAGCTCTTTCTATGTTTCTGAAGTCTTGATTGAGAGACATCATTGTTATTCTTATAACATACAAGAGTCCGGCAGAGTTGGATGTTTTGTGTTTGTTTGGCGTGGAAGGCTTCAGTGGCTTATGTTTGTTTGCTGTGCATGGTGAGGATTCTAGTGTATGTTCTTGCCTTTCTCCAGGAAGCATTGGCATGGGATTGGACACTACGAAATCAGACCATGACCTTTTCCTTTTCATCCAAGATGGGGACCCAAGCATGGTCCAAGAGCTCTACGAGGTGCTACTGGATTTGCAGCAAGACGAGAAGACGCATCTTCGGTTGAAGCGTGCGAAGATCCTGTGCAAAGATTTTGCGGTGGAGATCCAGGGCTATTATCGCTCGAAAGATTTTGACTTGGTGCCCTTCACAGACATCCAATCGAGTGACACAAGTGGTGAATGCCAATGGGACCCTGTACGGGAGGTCTGGCAGCGCATCTTGCACAAAGACCTTGCGCCGAAACTCCAAGACTTGTCGTTGCAGCATCCGGATGGCTACCTTATGACACGTGTCATGAAGAGCTGGAATGAATCTTTGCCAAAGATTCGTCGCAGGAAGCACCCCTTCATTTCGGTCCACTTACCATTGATGGTTCTGGGGGCTGGTGACCATGGCTGCTTTGAAGAGTGTAACAGCCCACAGACCTATGTTTTGGCCTCATTGAAGTTTATTGGGGAGAACTGGTTGCGCTCGGAGCTTGACCCCGATGACGTGACCTGGCAAGATGTGAATGCTAAACCTCATTTGCAGCGGATGACACAAAAATATCTTGAAAGTGTCACGCAGAAGGAACTCGAAAGGCTCTTGCAGACGAAAACGAGACTGTTTGAAGAAGCTTGCAGTCTTCGTGGTGATGACAGAATGTCCGCTGATGGAGTGATGTCTTTGATGCGGGAGTTCTTCGGCTGTGACTTGTGCCTTCTGAGACCAGACCGAAAGGCAGCGCTTGCAAAGCGCTTGTAGAGATTGCAGGTGGTCGAAGATGTGCCGTTCCAGCTTGCAGGATGCTTGCTGGCTCGGACTTCTTCCTTCAAGCTGACAAAAAGGGTAGTGCACAGTAGTGATGATAGTAGTCTTAGTAGTCTGAGTCATTCATGATTCCGGACTTTTCAGCCAGGGCTCGCAGAATGGAACACGCAAGGCGGGACATGTCAAGGCCATGGTTTGCAAAGATGAGCAGTTGGCTCATGCCCACTTGTTTCTGTCAAAGGACCTTTCACCTCAAAGATAAAGTTTCTCCAGTGCTTTTCATGTATATTCACAGCGAACTGTTGAACCCACCACATTTGGTGGGCAGAGAGGCTTGCTCTCACCACATCCAAACATGTCCCAGTCTAGATCAAACATACCTCTTTTGTGCACCCACACGCAATGCATCAGTGATATATATATATATATATGTATATTATATTATATATTTCTGCATCACTTTGCTCTTCGTCTTTGCCATGGGGATCGACACGGTCCGAGCCGTCGATCAGTTGCATGTGATCTCCTGGAACACCGCGGGTTTCTCCAGGCCCGGGAAAGAGGATGGATGGGAACTAACTAGAGAAACCATGCCACGGAATTGTTGGTCTTCAGATCCTCCTTCCGGTTGCCAAAGACTTGCTCCCACTTGGAAGAGCCTCCTTCTTCATACGTCCTTAAGAGCCTCCTTCTTCACCGCCCAGGACGCACGAACTGATCAAATCGCATTATGGCGACCTGCACACGTTTCTTCGCCGCCACCGAGCGGATGTTTTTTGCGTTCAAGAGACGCGTATGAAGGCTTCGATGTTTTCGAGCCTTGCAGAGTGCAAGCAACTGGGGGCGATCACCGAGGGCTATGAGAGCTTCTGGGCCTTCAATGAGCAGAAAGGTGTTGCGGGAGGAACTTGTGGTGTCGCGGTGTGGGTCAGGAAGGACCTTGCAAAGGGTATCAGAGCAACGCAAAAGGTGTTCAAGGCCGGGCTTCAAATTGCTGGAGATGTTCGAATGGTTTGATGGTGTGCTTTGTTTGAATGTGAATCTGTTGTCGAATCCAAGGGTCAGTGCTTTGCCAAGCTTCCTGTGTCGTCGATTTTGAGCCAGTTGTTTTGGGCGATCAATCTCGCAGGTGGACGACTTTGATCAAGAAGGTCGCTGTTTGCTGGTGGATTGGGGATCCCTGGCGCTTTTCAACGTGTATGTGCCGGTTTTAAAGGGTCCAGAGGACCAGCCGCGAAAGCTGAAATTTCTGGAGCTCCTCAGGCACAAAGTGGAGGAGATGCAGAGCGCGGGCAAAATGGTCATTGTTTGTGGAGATTTCAACCTCACATGGCGCCCGAAGGATTTTCATGGCCTCTATGTGAAAGTGGTGGAGGATTGCGTCTGTGGCAAGACGGAATGGCGCCTCAATGGTGGCCCGAATCGCTCCGCGCTGCTGACTCGTGGACAGGACTCCTGGATCCGCCTCGGTGAGGCGCAGAAAGCCTTGCAGTCCGAGCTGCTGGTGAGCGCAGCCTCCGCCGAGCTGCGCGCCGCACGTCCTCCCGACGGCGCCGAGCTGCTCCGCGTCGTGGACGCGGCCAGCGGAGCCACGCTGTGGATGAAGGGCGGCGGAGCGTCGACGCCTCTGGAGATCGTGCAAGGCCTACTTTTTTTGGCGTCTAGAGATCGAGTAACGAAAAACACATAATCAGTTTTTGCTGTCCATGCCGTGTTTTTGGACAGATCTGAAAAAACAGATACTGTAGCAACAAACTCTTGAGGCTAAGTGTTTTGGAATCTCTATCAGACTCATTTTCCTTGTGGGTCACATGAGGCTTGGATGGCGCACAGCAGATTCGCTTGCAGTTCGGTGTTCCGGCGAGTGATTTAGCGGCTCACGGGCAGACCTATCACTCAGTGACGCTGAGCTGCAACAGAGTCGGTTCATGTCCTCGGGCCTCGTCCAACAGGGTGGAAGTGGAGTGCTTCGAACCTGCTTCGTCCTCAGGCCTCTTCCGATCATGTCACGAAGCGTGATGAGACTCCTTCCCCTCTTTTCGTTCAGGCGTCTCATTCACTGAAGCCGAGCAACAGACTCCCTAGGTCTAATCCGTGCGATGGCACGGATTCCAATCTTCATGTGTGACGGCCTGCGGTCGCCGATTTTGCGTTTGATGCAAGGATGGAACCGGAGTGTGTGGAGTTCTTTTCCAAGTGGCTGGAGACCCTGACTGATACCTTTGCCGCCTGTCATGGAACAGCGGAAAGGCGCTTCACCTGCTGGATGCAGCGTGCAAACATGCGCTATTCCAACAAAGGATCTCGCTTGGACTACATTCTTTGTGATCAGAGACTGCCGCTTGCTGAAAACTCTGGTGGACAAAGCTGATTTGACGGCATTTCAACTGTGTACCTACAATCGCGTAGCTGGCCATGAGTCTTTTCCGGCTTCCACGCTTATCTTTCAAAATGGTCCTTGGATTTTGTAGTCTCTGATTCCTGCGAGAATACCTCCTTCAACTGCTTCACCCGGGGCGGTTCCTTTGCAACCACACAGCCATATGGGCCATTTGCCATGGCTCGTGTTCTTATTAATAGTTATTAATTTTACATATCACGAAAGCTAGCGAAGCTAGCTGGAGTTACTCTTGCGATAGCAAGGTTTCTTTCGATCGGGTGCAAATCCTAACCCCTGATCTTTCAGGTCGAAGCCCCCTGAAATGTAGAGGCCTACGTGTACAGGTTCCACTCCAGTGGCCTATCTAGTGTGTCCATGCTTGACTGCCATAAGGCTCAAGAGGATAAGACTCTGCGCATAAAAGACACTAGCGGTCTGCACCTCAACCGTGTACGCCCTAGTCACTCTTTCAGTGGTAGCGGAGCAGTGATCCTGGAAGACCCAGGTGAGCTCCTTTCCTAGGCATAGACTTGCTTGTAGGCAACCGGCCATGGATTGGATTGACGACTGGGAAGAGCCTGATGCGGATGTGGCTTATGAGCCAGCAGCCTATGTGAATAGGCATGTGAGAAGAGAACCAGCAGCTATAGCAATGACAACACAGGTCACTACAAAGGTGCCCCCATCTTATGATGGAAAGACTTCATGGTTTTCCTATGAGGATGCCATAGACGATTGGTGCGATATCACCGAGCTGGAGGATGAGAAGAGAGGACCAGCATTGAGAAACAGATTAGAAGGAGAAGCAGCGGTATACAAACGTGTATTAGACAGAGATGCATTGAAAGCGAATGATCCACCAGGAGCTGGAGTAGAATACTTCAAACGAGTACTACGACCATATTTTGTGAAAGGACCAACCAATGTATTCCTGTATAGGTTTATGCAATTCGTGCGCTTCAATCGAGGATCAGCCGACATGATGAAGTGGATGACAAGATTTCAGATTTTACTCCAAAGGCTTATGAGCAGTTGGATGGACATGTTGGATCCAGTAACACAAGTACATCCTCAGGTACAAGCTCAGATGCAAGCTGATGCAGCGATGACTGGAGTAGCTCCAACAGCGGAAAGAATTCAGGAAATCATGCAGAATGTCAATGGCAATATGAGAATTCTTCATCAGAACGATTTTCCTTTAGGAGAAAATCTCATTGCCTTACTCATGCTGTCACTTGCGGATTTGTCTCAGGACCAGAGGAACACTTTGACCTCTTTGATGACTCATCGTGGTAGAGTCCTGCAGCAATACACCACAACAGAATTGAGGACAGTTTTCATTGAGATGTTCTGCACAACAAAGACTTCAGTAGACAATCCTCTGATGCAGCCAACAGGTGCTGGAGGTAGAAGATCATTTCTCGTACTAGACGAAGGAGAACTCGATGGTACATATGGCTATTGGGCCGAAGATGAAGAAGATGGAACAGAAGGATTCCTTGATGCCCTGGACGATGTCTTTTGGGTATATGATGAACAGAATTTCTCTTGGTTCCAGAGGAGATTCCAAGGAAGAAGAGCCAGAAAAGGCAAAGGAAAAGGTAGAAGAAAAGGAAAAGGAAAAGGAAGATCAGGCCGCAGATTTTTCAGACCTCGAGGAAAAGGAAAAGGAGGAAAGAGACGAGGTAAAGGCCATTATGCTGATGAGCAATCGACAACTTATCCAGATGAGTATTTTGAAGAGAATCCTTATGAGGACACTTGGGAGTCAAACCAAGTAGGATATGATGCTATTCTTGCTGAAGATATGAATGACTATCTTCAAGGAGAACATGAAGATGCCCATGACTTTTGGCAACAACTTGAAGAAGCATGGTTTTCCCACAAAGGAAAAGGAAAAGGCAAGAGAAAAGGCAAGAAAGGAAAAGGAAAAGATAAAGGAGATGGCAAACAAGATGCAAACTATGCAAATCAACAACAGCCACGTTCTTTGCCTGCACCTTCAAGATCTTCACAAGCATCAGGAAGCCACCAAGGTTTCTTTGCGCATTGTATGACAACAGCAGCTGAAGTCAATGACAGTGAGGTGAACTTGCTGTCAGGCATGATGACCTCATGTCAAGATGAAGCTGACTGTAAGGTCAACAATGGTGAGATGATCTTCGATGACATGAGTACCCCTGTGAGGTACTTTTTGTCAAAGGAGATGCTCACAGATGCTCCTGATGGCTTTGCGCTTATGAGCGCTGAGGAAGAAGTGAAAGAGATGCAGGCTATTTCAACTGAGAATCGCTTCCCGCCAACTATTGCAATCCTGGACATTGGATGCACTAGAGCTATGGGATCAAGGCGTGCAGTCGATTATTTTTGTAACTATGTCGACAATCACCCAAACTGTGGACTATGGTACTCTTTTGAGTCTACCAAGAGCAAGTTTTACTTTGCCAATTCTCAGAAGGCTTCTTGCTCTCAGAAACTGGTGATTTACATGTATGATCGTGCATGAAGAAGGAGAAGTCCCTTTGCTTATGAGCTTGCCACAGATGAGGAACTTAGGCTTTGAACTCAGGCTGACACCTCAACATGCTTACCTGACATCGGTGCCTCTTGGTATCAAATTTTTGGAGTTGAAGGTTGCAGCCAGTACTCATCTTGTTTTGGACTTCCAAGATATTGCATGGTATTTGTCTGACGTGCGTTTGCAGGCTCGGCGCGAGAAGAGCTTTTACTCTCACTTCACTCACTATGAATATGGCCATATTTCGGTTGATCACAATAGTGATGAAGATGAAGCTGAGCATGCATATCCTGTGGTTGACTACTGGGAAGTAGATCTTCACAAGAGATAACTGACACGTCACCACAAGGACTACAGGAAGATTCTTTTCCCAGCAACTAAGTCCTGTCCTGTAGACACTGACTTGCTGGAAGACTTGCGACTGACAATCATCAAGAAGAAAGAAGGAGGAGAAGAGATCAAGAAGATAGATGATTGGCGCAAGGCAAAATGGAAGGACCTACAAATTGGCTATGAATGGCGTGGTAGTTCAATTTTTAAGTTCAAGCCAGATGCCAAAATTCCAGATCTTAAGATCAGGAAGGCTGGCATTGAGCACCGTGGCATTGGTGATCCCGATGCAGTGGTGCGCTCCTCCTCAGAAAAGGTTCCCATTGCAAAGGACAGGGAACCAGGCTTCTCTTCAGAGAAGGAAGGTGCACCATCCAGTGGCGCGGAAAAGCCCGCGCCGCCAAAGTTTCGGTATACTTCCAAGGGTTATGACCCATTTTGGAAGGGACATAAGTTGAAACCATCTGAGCCCTCACATGATTTAAAGGGTGATGATCTTGAGGAGTATACTCCCTCAGAACCACCTGAGAGGCCAGAAGGTGAACTTGTAGAAATTCCTAAAGCATCAAAAGGACCATCAAGTGATAAACATGAACCACTTGAACCAGGTGATGGCGCTCTTGAGCCTAGGCGGATTTCAATCCCATTACCTGGTAGTGAAGTTGTTGCAATGACACCGGCATATAGGAAGATGTTGCAGAGACTGGAGGACAAGGTAGAGCTTTATAAGCTTCATGTGAAGCACTACCATATGAGTCCTACTCAGTTTCGTAGACGTGTTTCTATGTTGAAGCTTCCTGACTCTGTTTTAGAGAAGTATGAATCAGTTGTCAGGAACTGCCGTGTTTGTAACACTTCAGTGGCACCTCCGCCACGAGCCAGAGTCTCCGGTATTAGAGCTTCATGTTTTGGTGATGTTGTTTTTGCTGATCATTGTGAGGTTGAACTTCACAAGAACAAGTATATCATTCTACTTGTTCTTGATGGTGCCACAAATCTTCTCTGGGCTACGGCGCAGAAAGACCTCATAGATCAAACCACCATCCAAGCATTGAGACAATGGTCTGATGAGAACAATTGCGTTCCGAAGGCCATCGTAGGAGACGAAGCCTTTTTCACAGATGCTTTTGTTGAATACTACAGGTTTCATGGTATACAACAATGTCCTTGTGGACCAAGAACTCCTTGGCCGAACCGAGCAGAGACAGCTGTACGTTTGTTCAAACGTATGTGGCGTGTTATGAAGGTAGATCTGGATGACCCACGTTTTCGTGGTGTTACGGTCAGAGAAGTGGTCAAGAAAGTAGTGTGGGCAAGAAATTGTCAGTTGACTATCAGTGGATACTCACCAATAGAGATAGCAACTGGAAGGCGTCCACCAGATCTTTTTGACCTTGAGACCGCAAGCCCTGAGCAATTGTCAGCTAGTGCAGCCGCACAAGATCGTACAAATCTGGAACTACAACGTGTAGCTTTGAGAGCTCATCAAGAAGCACGACAAGCTCAGGACCTTCGAGCAGATCTTGCAAGAAGGACTATGCCAAGTGACGGTCCATATTTTCAGGGAGAGAAGGTTTTTATTTGGACTCAGGATTCATCAAAGTTCAAGGATAAAGGACGTTGGGTCCAAGCCAACACCGGTAAGGCAGTGGTACGTGTGAATCAGTCAAAGGTTAGACGAGATCACGATGAGTGGCATGATGTTTCCATACCGGCATTAGACGATGAGAATCCGGAGAACTTACGTGAAGATCACGAACTGTATGTTGATGCCGAATTTGGAGAACAGTCTTTTTTCTTTTGTAATGATGATCATCCTGATGTTGTTGAGTTACTTCATGGAAACAGTGGATTATCTTGGTTCCTTTCAAAGAATGGTGTTAGAGTTGCATCTCCTATGGATTTCAAGGCAGGATACAACTTTTCCACGTTGAAGGGTCAAGATGCTATTTGGCAGCAACTTGAGAGGTTGCAGCCCCACTGTGTAGTGATCAACAACCCTTCTCCCAAACAAAACAGAGCTTCTATTTGGTTGCTATGTTGCAATGTGATTGAGTGGCAGTTGAGAAGGAAGAAACATGTGTTTGTGACTGTTCCCAAAGGAAATAA